ATGAATCAAGATGCTATGATTAAAAATTTTTTATTATTGGCCGAATTTAGGTGTTCAGGCTGACTAACTGGCCAGAAGAAGATAACAGGAAAAAAATGCAGATTTTAAAGACAGGATTTTTTGGGACTAACTTTTGGGACGATATGGTCTGATGTAGAATACATTTATATACATGTTTAAGCATAATTTGACATGTAAACTTGACTTCCCTACGACTTTAAATCCGAAATGTAACCAAATCACAGACGTACCCCGTCTTTTTGGTAAAGTGCTTCATCTTTGGGCCGACTGCGAAGCCGCCTCCGTTAAAACCACGGGATTAAAGGCTTACTGCATCTCCATCTCTCATGATTAACGTAACATAAAGCATGTCGCGAACCAGCGTTTTAGTCAAAATCCTTAAAGCAACATCATGTTGCGAAACCCCAAAACACTAATAATAAAAGCCAACATATTCTGCCGGCAGGTTTCTACATTTGAAGTTAATTTAGGCGTTAATAAACTGTTTCAGAGGAGTGATCATAGCGCTCTGCATCAGCAGTTCTGTGTTTGTCTCCCTGCCAGCTCCCAGATCAGCTTCTCTCATTGGTTGATGTCGCGCATCGAGCAGCAGAAATTAAATATTTCCAACTCCAGCATCTGTGATTGTGAAATTTTGAACATTCGAGCCAAGTTTCCGGGGAGAATTTGATCAGTTTGCAGCTTAAACCACCCGCAACTGGAAAAACGATACGAGAAATAAGTAAAATACTTTTCAATTTATCCTTAATTTGAGTAGGTAAATGAGATGATTTGCCAATGGAATGAGTATTTTTACTCTTACAATAAGATATTTAGATAATATGCACATGAAATAAGACAATGTAATTGTGTTTTCTTATTTTAAATGTGAATTGTATTCCATTCCATTGGCAAAATGTCTCTTTTATGTTCTCAATTCAAGAACAGATGCACTTATTTTAAGAAAAATCACTTATCTAGATTTAGATTTTTTCCAATGCAATCGCTGTTTGGCCTTTTGAAAACCTGCGCTGCAAAAACTGGTCTTAAATTAGTAAAAATACTCTTCATATCGGCCAATTTGCCCTTAATTATGGACAGGTAGATATGATTTTCTCTACAGAATGAGCATTTTGGCCCTGAAAATAAGATAATTGGTTATTATGCCCCTGAAATTAAGCTAATCGAGTTTATTTTCATCTAGTTTAAACAAAAATCATCTAATTTAATTGTCTTATTTATCTGCTCTAGAAAAAATAACGTATTTCAATTTTTTGTAGTGGAAATCTACTTCCTGCTCTTTCTTGTATCAGCCGATACGTACAAACATTGGCTGATTTTACCCTTTTCTTAATCTGTTAATGAAACTTGTTCAACAATTATTATTCTGTCATTTTTATCATGCAAATAGAGGAGGAACAATAAATCTGCTTCAAATACCTGCTAAATAAATTGGCAGCACATATCTGGGAGCGGTTAGACTGATGTCAGAATAATCTGCATTAGTATCGGCTTTAAAAAGCCTGCATTGGTCCATGTTGGAAGGAGGCGACTTCAGCTGGAAGCTCATTGGGCTCATTTACCGTCAGATAAATCCTTAATTGATCATAAATTTGTCATCAGGAATAGAGAACTAACTCAGACCCACATGAGGACAGCTTGTACTGCTGCTAACTCTGTGATGGAGGAGGAATAAGCATCCCTCCGGTCTGAGATCGCTCCACTGACCCACCCCGGAAAAGCCGTCCCATTACTGCCAGAACGAACAGCTCGGCGGATAAAAAGGAGGGTCAGACAGGTGTCTCCTGAGTGCCGATAAGTAGGACGTCGTCCTGGAGACGGTTGGCGTGGGAACAGCAGCTAAGATGCTCTCTGCTGTTCTAACACGTCGGGGAAAATAAACAGGAGCCGCCTGTCACTGCAGCGCAGCGGTTCTACAAACCCTGTCCTCTGCTGACGAGGCTTTTTAAGATGAATATCAAAGGAACGTTACCGTTTTCAGCCAGCGGGGCCAGAACCTCAAAGATCATCTCTTTCTTCTCGTGCTCCGTCTGCTTCTGGAACAGACGCACCAGCTCCTCTGCAATGTTGGTGGAGGCAAACTGCTCTTTGCTGGACTCTGAAAAATGCAAGACGT